TGTGTGTATGTGTGTGTATGTGTGCGCGCGCGCATGCGCGCACCATGACAAGTATGTGGAAATCAGAAGACAACTTTTGTGGGTCCTGAGGCTCAAACTCTGGTCATTAGACTTGGCAGCAAGTGCCTTTATCCACTGAGCCATCATGCTGGCCCTTGATCTCTCTTGATACCACTTCCTGTGAACCTGGTTACTATAGGCCTGATTAAAAAAGCAGTTTGGGGACTGGAGAGATGGGTCAGTGGTTAAGAACAATGGCTGTTCTTGCAGAGGACCTGGATTTGATTCCCAGCACCCACATGGTGTGGCTAACAACTGTCTGTAACTCCAGTTCCAGGGGATCTGACACCCTTTTCTAACCTCCACAGGCATTGCACAGCACAGGTGTACTTACATACATGCAGGCAATACACTCATACATATAAAATAAAAATAATAAATACTTTTTAAAAAAGCACTTTTGCTAGGCCTGGTGGCACAAGCCTGGAGTCCCAGCACTTGGGAGGCAGAGGCAGGCAGACCTCTGTGAGTTCAAGGCCAGCCTGGTCTACATAGTGAGTTCCAGGACAGCTGGGGCTTACAGGAAGACCCTTCTTCAAAAAGACCAAAAATAAATAAATAAATAAATAAGCACTTTTGTCAGGTGTGGTGGTGCACACCTTTAATCCCAGCACCTGGGAGGCAGCGGCAGGTGGATCTCTGTGAGATCATAGTCAGCTTAGTCTACATAGCAAGTTTTAGGTCAGCTGGGGCTACCTACCCAAGGGAGATCTTGTCTCAAAAAGACCAAAAAAAAGAAAAGAAAGAAAAAAAGCACTTTCTTACCAATAATCAAACTACTGTAACCTCACTTTATTCAAACTGGTTATTTTACAGCTCTCCCTTGCTGCTCCCTCCCCTCCCCTAACTGCCTAGTAGCTTGCTGCCTCTTTTCACATAAAGATTCCGTAAAGGGGACTGGAGATGTAGCTTGCTGGTAGAGCACTTGCCTAACATGGGCAATACCCTGGGTTTGATCTCCAGGACGATGAAAGGAAGAGAGGGAAGGAAGACCAAGGAAAAGAGGAAGGAAAGGAAGGAAAAGCCCCTATAGGGGGTGCTGCATGTCTTTTGTGATTACACTGGAACACAGAGTTCTACCAATAGGAGTGGGTATAGGGTAGGGTGAGAAAGTGCCAGGAGCTCCCTGCTACCTTCAGGCTCCTCTGACATAGCACCCATAACTTCGATGCCACTGTACTCAGTACTGACTCCAGATCACTCTGGTCCTCCCTTTTCACATCTCTCAGGCTAGATGAAGAAACAGGAACCTCCCTGTTAATTCCAGCCTTCCTCACTCTGGCCAGGAGGAAAGATTAGAGCATTGATTGCAAGCCCCCATTCTGTGCATGTAAAATCTACTTCTTTTCTTCAATACTGCTTTATACACACACACACACCCGCCCCCATCCCAGGATGCTCTTGACTTTCTAGAATTTGCATTCTAAGCCATTTGGAAGGACAGGGCCCTCTTGGTGGAATGGTTTATAGAAACCTGGGAAAACTGCTATTGGGCTGGGAAGACAGCTCAGTGTTAGCGTGCTTGACTGTTACTCATATGCACCTGGGTTCCATCCTTAGCTCTGGAAAAACAACAAAAAAAATCAAAGGTGCCATCTTCTCCTGACTTGTGTGTGTCTTTCCAGACTGCTGACTTTCTGAAAATCATGCTATGCACAACTGGAGGGAAGTATGCTGAGCAAGATCTGGTTTGTTTTTGTGGTTCTTGTTTGTTTGCTTTTTAAATTTTAATTTCTTCTTAAGATCTGTTTTTTTTTTTTAAATTTAAAGCAGGTTGTAATTGGACAAGGTTAAGTAGAATTATCAGTTTAACTATTTGAAACATTCTGAATTGTAACATAGTTGGTAAACTAGCTTGTAAATTAATCCGAAAAATGAAGTTAAATCAAAAGCCTGACATGTAAGTTTATATATATAACCACCTATGTGGTTATCAGTTTTATAAAGGAAGAATCTAGTAGTACTTGGGGAAGAGGAAGGACACTTTTTTTTTTTTTTTTTTTTTTGGAAAGGGGTTTTAACAAGGGCAAGGGAATTTGAATATTAATCCTCCTGACTCTACCTTCCAGGTGCTAGGATTATAGGTTTGTACCACATCTACTTTTTGTTTATTTTTGCTGGTCTGGGATGAACCCATAACCTTGTTCATTCAAGACAGCTACTGAGCCATATTCCCAGCCCTCATTTATTAACTTTATAGACTTTTATATAATCAAGAGGACACAGACACACACACAGACACACAGAAACATATAAGATACACAGACACAAATGCAAACACACACTTCTTTTTTTTTTTTGGTCTTTTTGAGACAGGGTCTCCCTGTAGCCCCAGCTGTCCTGGAACTCACTAGGTAGACCAGGCTGGCCTCAAACTCACAGAGATCCACCTGCCTCTGCCTCCCCCACCATGCCTAGGCTTAATATTTTATTATTTTTTATTTTATATGCATGAGTGTATTGCTGCATGTAGGTAGGTGCACCTGTGTGGTGCAATGCCCAAGGAAGTCAGAAGAGGGCATTGGATTCCCTGGAACCGGATGTGGAGATGGTTGTTAGCTGCTGGGAATTGAACTCAGGTCTTCTGCAAGAGCAGCCAGTGCTCTTAATCGCTGAGCCATCTCTCCAGCCCCAAGACAGGGTCTTCCTATATTGGATTAAACTAGAACTCCTGGGCTCAAGTGATCTTCTCAAGTACTGGGACTATAGGTGTGTGCTATGATGCCCAGTTTAGAATATACTGCTTTTAGAGCCAGAATCTAGGCAGGAAGAAATAATTAATAAGACTTAAAGCTGGATGTGGTGGCTCACTCCTGTAATCCTAATACTTGGGAGGCTGAAGTTGGAGGATCAGGAGGTTAAGGACAGTCTCTGCTATGTAGCAAGTTTGAAGTCAGACTAGCTACAAGAGACTCTGTCTCAAAATTCCAAAACACCAAGTAGCCTAAACCTCACAAAGACCCACGGTACTCCGGTACTCCAGAATCCATTTTGAGGATGTAGTTGTGGTCATCTCTGGGCACCAAGGAACCCCAACATCCACATCCACAGGGAACTTCCCCAACATACACATCCACAGGGAACTTCTGGGGGATAGGCACGAGCAGTCTAAGGTGGGGACACTTGTCTACAGGCTGTGCAGGAAATTAGCAATGGCTGTTTTTTTTTTTAAATTTTATTTATTATTTTTATTTTATGTGTATGCATGTATTGCCTGCATGTATGTGAGTGCATCCATGTCATGCAATACCTGAGGAGGTCAGAAGAGGGCACTGGATCCCCTGGAACTGGAGTTATGGATAGTTGTTAGGTTACAGACAGTTGTTAGCTGCCATGTGGGTGCTGGGATTTGAACCTGAGTCTTCTGCAAGAACAACCAGTGTTCTTAACTGTTGAGCCATATCTCCAGCCCCAGCAATGGCTATTTTTGTAACAAAAGGAAAAAAAAAAAAACATGCAGCAAACATGTCAAGACTGAGATGATTCTAGGAAGTGATTATTGGCTTGAGATGAGAGCAGTAAGACCATTTAAAGACAAATCAGTGTCAAATGTCTGAGGAGAGAGGGAAAAACATAAGAAGGGAAGGGGAAATGGAAAGAGGTCATAGCCAATGGTCAAGGATAAAATCTTAGGTCCAAAACCCCACATGCCGGGTTCAGAGAAAAGCAAACAGCCATGCCATTACTTACTTGCCATATGACAATGAGGGAAGATATGACCACAGAACAGTACAGACCAGTCCTCACAGCACTGTGACATGTCCTGGCAGGCATATGAGATGCTTAAAATGAGGCCTGTGGAGGATTCCGGGGCTTTGGAAGTAATCTTAAGGATGGACTCCAGGGTGTCACTGATTTGAGAATGCTTGAGGAGAAGGATCCCAGCTGAAAGTGTTTATCTTTCTTGGAGGAAATGCCTCTTAGATGTTTGGGATAGGGTAGTGCTCTGCCCTAAATTAATATTAAATGAAGGGGAGCTGAATCTCTCAGTATATAGTTCCTCAGTACAAAGCACAGAGCCTGGTGTCCATAGACATCTTCCATGGGAAATCAACCTGTAGTAGCTAGAGACAGACACCAACCTTGAGGGCAGAACCAAGGGAAGAAACAGGCATTCATAGGCTAACTAGCATGCATCTGGTGGCTGATGGTAATCACCTTGGGAATACAGGCTTTTAGCATCCATATATTAGACCCAATATAGAATGCCAACCCAATCATCAAAAACTTCCAGAGTTAGAAACAATCTCCAGAGTCTTGTCTTCAGACCTCCTTCCAGTGGAGAAACCTTGCTGTAGGTGCAGAGTGGTTCCTTCCTTGGAACACTTCATGGTATTTGATTGGTTGCTAAATAGAAAAGAATCAACCTCCTTCAATATCCTTCATATACTAGAACGGTTCATTTTCTCATCAAATGCTATTTGTTTTAAATCTTTTTCTAGCTAGATCAACCCTATCAGTGGGGCAGTCTGCCTTGGTGGGCTGCCATGTTGGGAGGGAACCAAGCCTTCCTGAAATCTCACCTGAATGCCCTCCCCTGTGAGAGCTGAGCAGGACTGGATCTGCCAGACTCGGTCCCGGATGGTGTGGAGGTTCAGTCCTTCAGCAATCTCAGAGGCCGGGGCTGCTGTCAGCAGATCCTGCTTATTAGCAAAGATGAGCACTGGCACACAGCTTAGCTTTTCTTCCTCCAGTAATTCAGTGAGTTCCTGGATCATTTGGGGAAGGGAAGAGGAGGAAAATGTGAAAACTGGTATCTAAGCACACATTAAAAAAAATATTTTATTAGGGCAGGTATAGTCTTAACACATGGGAGGCAGAGGCAGGTGGATCTTTGTGAGTTCAAGGCCAGCCTGGTCTACATATTGTGTTCCAGACCAGCTAGGGGTACAGGGAGACTGTCTCAAAAAGAACAGCAACAAAAAAATTATTTTTATTTTCTGTGTATGAGTGTTTTGCCTGCATGTATGTAAGTGCACCTGTGTCCTGCAATGTCCGAAGAGGCCAGAAGAGGGTGTCAGATCCCTGGAACTGGAATTACTAATTGTTGTTAGCCACCATGCGGATGCTGGGATCAAACTGGGCCCTCTGGAAGAACAGCAAGTATTCTTAACCACTGAGCCACCCCTCTAGCCCCCAAGCATACATTTCTAATTACAGAAAAATTAAGGAGTTAAACTGGTTGGCAGAGATTCTTGGGCTCGTACCTCTCTCTGGTACACTGCCTCAGATTCCTAGGCCCAAACCAAAGATACTAACTACAGAAAGCCTAACCCAGCATCCAAGAATCACACTTTTTTTTTTTTCTGTCTTTTTGAGACAGGGTCTCCCATAGCCCCAGCTGTCCTGGAACTCACTACGTAGACCAGGCTGGCCCTGAACTCACAGAGATCCGCCTGTGCTGCCTCTTGAGTGCTGGGATTAAAGGTGAGCACCACCACACCCGCCCAGGAATCATACTTTTAACAGACTACTCAGTGACTCTGTTATAGGTGGCTCGTGGATCCTACTCAAATAGTGGTTAGAGATTTAAAGCAGCCAAAGTTAACACTGCAAATTTTTTTTTTTTTTTGGTGCTAGGGACTGAACTCAGCCTTGCACACACTTAGCAGGTACACTAACACTTAGACTCACAGTCCCACAAATGACTTAGTGTATATGTATGTATTTATATACAGAAACTGAAAATGACAATTAGAGATTATAATTCTATTTATCAGTCTACGTCCAAAACATGCAAACAGGCATCAATTTTCATCAAACTCACATCCTAAAAGAACTTTATTGGCCTCTATGGCACAGAACATTGTTGACCTCCTAGATAGGCTAAACTCTAAACTTAATTGTCTGTAATGATTCTGAACAGTACATACATTTACCTAAATGACAGGCTCCACCTCTTTCTCATTAAGTGCATATTTTAGCTACTTACTGGGCTTTCAAAAAGACCTGAATGGCTCAAGAGGCAGGTGACTACTACACTCCCTCCACCTTCAAGCTCAGTGCCTGGTTCACCTCAGGGATGATCCAGAAATCAGAACATGGAAGGGAAATGTGCTGTCTTCAAGAGTCTGCAGACTTCTCAACCCGCTTTCCAAGAAAAAGGAACAAAACCATGGGAACTTCTGCTTTTGGATACAGGCCAAAAATTCTGCAATGAGATCCAAGCATGCATCTCCAGATCCCCCCCACCCTCCCTGCTTCTGTCAGTGATCTCACGCCAGGTTCGGTGGCTGAGGCCAGTACTTCTCTATGCAAGACTGTACACAGCCACCTCATGGAATCCTACTGACATGTACTCTGCATTTGAAAGCCGTACTGGAGTTCAAGGTTGACTATCTCCTGGCTTGACAGCAAGATCAGCTTAGTTTTGGCTTGTATATTTCTTCTTATACTTTTGAATTTGTCAGTTACTCTTGGATCAATTAAGGACGTTACTGAAAAATGTAAGTAGAAACGCTCCTGAGTTCATGTCTACAAGGTCTGGGAAGAATCCAGAAGAGCATCTGAACTTCGTGCTAAGTTCCATTTGCTTGTATCTTGTACATTAAATTTGATTAAGGCTAAAAAGCTTCAAATCAGCTGGGCGTGGTGGTGCTTGCTTTTAATCCCAGCACTCGGGAGGCAGAGGCAGGAGGATCTCTGAGTTCAAGGCCAGCCTGGTCTACACAGTGAGTTCCAGGTCAGCTGGGGCTATAAGGAGACCCTGTCCAAAAAGACCAAAAAAAAAAAGCTTCAATCAAAAAATTGCTTAAGCCAGGTGTGGTGGCACACGCCTTTAATCCTGGCACTCGGAGGCAGAGACAGGCAGATCTCTGTGAGTTCAAGGCCAGCCTGGTGTCCATAGTGAATCCAGGCCAGCTGTGGCTACAGGGAGACCCTGTCTCAAAAATACAAAAAGAAAAAAAAAATTGCTTAAAAGACTCTCAACTAAGCTGGATGTCATGGAGCATGCTGTTTTTTTTCTTTTTTTGGTGTTTTTGAAACAGGGTTTCCCTGTAGTCCCAGCTGTCCTGGATTTGCTATGTAGACCAGGCTAGCCTTGAACTCACAGAGATCGGCCTGCCTCTGCCTCCTGAGTGCTGGGATTAAAGGCGTGCACCACCACGCCCAGCTGGAGCATGATTTTTTAATCCCAGCACTCAGGAGGCAGAGGCAGGCAGATCTCTGTGAGTTCAAGACCAGCCTGGTCTACATAGTGAGTTCCAGGCCAGCTGATATTTCTCCCCACTTGCCAGAATGACCTTCTTCTTTGAAATTTAATGGTTAAAAAAAGTATCTCTTTTCCTCTCACACATTTACAAGGTAGATTAATGAATACCTAGTTATGGGGAAAATATCTCAACAGAAGAATTATTTACCTGACCCGTCTCTTCAAATCTTTTTCTGTCTGCACTGTCAATTACATATATCTGTAAAGGAAAACAAGAAAGTTACTTTAATAAATAGACATAGAAAAAATACAGGGCAACTTCCACAAAAGAATCAGAAAATCCCCCAATCAAAAGATTTCAGATTAGCACAACACATAGAATAGAAATGGACTGTCTGGGCTGGAGAGATAGCTCTGAGATTAAGAGCACTGGCTGCTCTTCCAGAGAACCCAGGTTCAGTTCCCAGCACCCTTATGATGGCTAACAACTGTCCATTAACTCCAGTTCCAGGGAATATGACACCATCTTCTGGCCTCTGTGAGCACTGCATGCATGTGATGTACTTGCATACATGCAAGCAAAACACTCATACACATAAAATACAAATAAAAATAGTTAAACAAGCCGGGTATGGTGGCGCATGCCTTAATCCCAGCACTCAGGAGGCAGAGGCAGGCGGATCTCTGTGAGTGCGAGGCCAGCCTGGTCTCCATAGTGAATCCAGGACAGCTGGGGCTACAGGGAGACTCTGTCTCAAAAAGTACCCCCCCCAAAAAAAGCCCAAATAAAAATAGACAGCAACTTTTGTTGTAACTCAAATTCTGTACTACACTGAAAACCTGTTGTTTTGGAAAACTATTTCTTTGCATAATGTTCTTTCATTTAGTCACTGTGCTAAATATTTTAAAAACTATTTTATAGGGGGCTGGAGAGATGGCTCAGCGGTTAAGAACACTGACTGTACTTGCAGAAGACTGGGGTTCGAATCCCAGCACCCACATGGCAGCTAACAACTGTCTGTAAATTCAGTTCCAGGGTATCCGACAGCCTCTTCTGTCCTCCTCAGGCATTGCACGTGTATGTGTATGCGTGTATTGCCTGCATGTAGGTAAGTGCACCCGTGTCTTGCAATCCCCCATGGAGAACAGAAGTCATTGGATCCCCCTGGAACTGGAATTAGGGGCAGTTGTTAGCTGTCATGTGAGTACTGGGATTTGAACCTTGGTCTTCTGCAAGTACAGCCAGGGCTCTTAACTCCTGGTCATCTTTCCAGTCCCCTGCTAAATATTATACTAGGATCCAACTCTACCCTTTTCTCTCAAGAATAGCCCACATTTCTACTTGGAGAATCATACAGAGAAAGGGGAAGGAAATTGATTTCAGTATTTTTTTTTTTTGGTCCATACAATTGTTAATATTACTCAAATTCAATGCCAACAAATAATCATGGGATGTGCACACCACAGACACCCCTAATCTGATGCTGAAGGTAAGTCACTATGCAGAGCACAGTGAGAGCTTAGTTTATACCAGTGGAATCCACTCTATTTTTGCTTATTTATTTAACTTAAAATTTTATTTTATTTATTGATGCAAGTCCAGGGCTCAGGCTTTACAAGCCCCAGGCATACTATAAATACAGGTATGGAAAGAATGACTGGGATGAGAGTTTTCATTAGAATCACCCAGGACTGGACAGTAGATTAGGAAGATCCTGGCTATCAATAAAGCAACAGTTTAGGACACGTGAGGGAGGGAAGGAGAGCCAGGTGACTGCTGGGAGAATGTTCTGGATGCAGCCTGGAGGGTGTGTGCAGGTCACTAGGCAAGGCAGGAATTACCAAGTAGGAGGAAGGTGTTCTGTGGCCAAAGTGTGTGAATAAAGGTGAGGAGAGGCCATTTGGTATGACAAAAAGGAAAAAACAGCTAGCTGTGGTGACACACGCCTTTAATCCCAGCACTGGGGAAGCCTAAGGCCAGCAGATAGCAGTGAGATGGAGGCCAGCCTGGTCTACATAGTGAGCTTCAGACCAGCTGGAGCTACAGGGAAACCCTATCTCAAAAAACCAACACTACCCCCAAAACCCTAAAAATCAGGCCATAGAATTATTCTACAATAAGGTTATATTCTCTGGAACTCAGAATGACACGTCAGGTGAAGTCGATTCACTTTGTTTTTTTTTTTGGTCTTTTTGAGACAGGGTCCCCCCGTAGCCCCAGCTGGCCTGGATTCGCTATGGAGACCAGGATGGCCTCGAACTCACAGAGATCTGCCTGCCTCTGCCTCCCGAGTGCTGAGATTAAAAGCGTGTGCCACTACGCCTGGCCTTACTTTTTATTTTTTGACACAGGATCTCATTGTGTAGCTTCAACTGTCCTGGACTATGTAGACCAGGCTGGCATTGATTTTACAGAGATCTATCTGCCTTTGTCTCCCAAGACACCATGCCTGGCTGTTTTCCAATTCTGATTATTTATTTATTTATTATATGTGTATGTGTGTATTGCCTGCATGTAGGTAAATGCACCCGTCGTTGCAATGCCCAAGGAGGACAGAAGAGGCCGTCAGATCCCCTGGAGCTGGAGTTATGGATAGCTGTTAGCTGCCATGTGTGTGCTGGAATTTGAACCCGGGTCTTCTGCAAGAACAACCAGTGTTCTTAACCACCAAGCCATCTCTCCAGCCCTTATTATTTTTATGTGTATGAGTGTACTGCCTGCATGCATGTAAGTGTACCAGAGTCGTGCAAAGCTCACAGAAGTCAGAAGAGGGTGTTGGATCCCCTGGAACTGGAGTTACTGACGATTGTTAGCCACCATGTGGGTGCTACAAAAGCAGTTAGTGCTTTTAAGCCATCTCTTCGGTCCCTGTCTGTCTCCCCCTGACCCACCTCCAATTCTTATTTGTCTGGTTATGGAAGACCTGGAGAAAGTTTTTTTTTTTCCTCCAGGTCTCCAGTTTCCAGAAGAGACTGAATGAGGCCCCTTAGTCTCTCCTCCTGCCTCTGCTGCTCCTCCCTACTCCTGCTGCCTTTTGACCATTTTATTGCTCCCAGTATTTCTCCACCAAAGCATAGGCAGCAAACAAGAGGTGACAAGGGAAGAGTGTGGCTGTACTCTGATAGCTTGAGCTGAAACTAAGAATAAGGTGTCTATATAACGTAGTTTTCAATTACTGGCACTCTTTCCATCTTGTAGCACCAATGTGTGTGAGTGGTATTGTGGAAAAAAATAGTTAAAGTGTTTGAGATCAATTCCTTTTGAGGTCCTGTGCATTTATTGATTGATTTACTTATCTTTTTTGAGGCAGGGTCTCTCTATTTTTTTTTGGCTTTTTGTAGGCCCAGCTGGCCTGAAACTCCCTAAGTAGACCAAGCTCCAAGCTGGCCTCATCTCAGAGATCCACCTGCCTTTGACTCCTGACTGTTGGGACTAATGGTGTGCACTATCATGCCCAGTGGTCTCACTATGTTGTCCAGGCTAGTCTCAAAGTTATAGCAATCCTCCTGTTTCTGTCTCCTGAGTACTGGCATTACAAGCCTGTATACAACACCCAGCTGAGATCCTGTACTTTAAATATGGAGATAATGACAGAGATTTTACTTAAATTATATTAAGTTTAAATATAAAACTGACGCTGGGTGAAGTGGCACATGCCTTTAATCCCAGCACTTTGGAGGCAGAGGCAGGTGGACCTCTGTGAGTTTGAGGTCAGCCTGATCTACACAGTGAGTTCCAGACCAGCTGGGGTTACAGGGAGACGACCAACAACAACAAAAACACCCCACTATTTTAAAGATTATTTGCTTTTTTTTTTTTTTGCACTATTTTAAAGATTATTTGCTTTTTTTTTTTTTGGTGGTGCTGGGCATTGAACACTGGGCCTTGTGCATATAAGCCAAATGCTCTGCTAATGCCACACTCTAAGTATTCCTATGTATTTTTTGTCTACCTGTTGTTTTCTAGCTAAGGTGAACTGGAAGTTCCCTATCCCTTCCCTTCTATCACACTTAAAATTTCTTTATTAATTGTTCCCCTAAGTGAGTCAAGTCAAAGCCAGATGTTCTTGGCACCTGTCCCTGAGAATAACCCAAATCTCCAAACCACTAGGGAGCCATTTCATGCTCTAACAGGAGGGGTGGCGAACTTTGGTAAGCAGTCAGTAGTAAACACTTTCTGTCCTGTGGCCCATGCAATCGCATTCACAACTACGGAACCTGGCTGCTGCAGGGAGAGAGCAGCCCTGGGAAATCTGTGCAAAAAATGCACATGGACTGGTTCCAATGGAACTTTATTTATGGACACCGAAATTTGAATTTCACATTCTCATGTGTCACAAACCATTATTCTTCTTTTGATTTTTCCCCCAACCATTTAAAAATATAAAAACCATTCTAGTTCACAGGCTATACAAAAACAGGAGACAGGCTGGATCAACTCATCCACCTCTGCTCTAAAGCAAGATTTTACTATGGCACTCTGAAGAGAATTGAAAAGATTTAACCAGGCAACGAAATGTGTCAAGCCTCAATCTTGCTGCCAGAGCAGCATGGAGTCCAGTGTAATACGTCTTTTTCAACTAACAATGAAAGCCTATTAAACCCAGACAAACACACAGAATCCATCAACCTGCTGCTCCAGGCTGCTATGAAACAGGCGGACAGGGCTAAGAGTCTCAAAGCTGGAGACTAACCCTGGGGACTCAGCTGCTTTCCAAAACTGCTTAATCTCAAATGACACTGGAAAATAATGAGGTTGACTCTCAACCCAAAATATTTTCTTGTATTAGTATGTGCTATGGCTGAGAGGTCACTCTGAACTGGTGTTTGCTGGGTACCACATCAGCTAACAGAGAGTATGGAATCTAGGGTCCTAGCACACTTACCCTACCATCTACCTTTAAGGGGGCAGAACTTGACTTAAAATTACCCTTATCTGTAGACTAGAAAGTTCTGAGGCTTTCTGGTGGAGCCTCACAATCATTAATGTCTTACTAACTGCTCTTCTTGGTCATTTCTTCCCAAGAACCTTAATTTGGCACACAGGAATGTTCTCTCTCTACTTTTTGCCAACTTTTTTTTTTTTTTTGTATTTTTTTTCTTTGACAGGGTCTCATGTAGCCCAGGCTGGCCTTGAACTTACTTAGTAGCTGAGTCTGGCCTTGAATTCCTGATTCTCCTGAATCCACCTTCCAAGTCCTGGCATAACACCACCATACCCAGCTTAGTGGGTTTTATTTTTGCATTTATTTTCATGTG